GACAGCACTATTACCATGGGAGAGCTCAGCCGGTATCACCAAGGTTGCATCACCTCTTTCCCCAAGCTCCCTGTGTACACAGCAAGCCAGGGATTTGTCAGAGCCAGCAGTGTGGAGACTCAGGCCCTTGGTAGGAAGTTAGCAAAGGCTTCCATAATGCTAAGATGACCAAAGGATAAGTAACATATTAAATACCATAAGGTAAATGTGTATTGCGGTTGGGAATGAACAAAGCTCCTCTGACCCAACTGGACCTAGGGAAAGAGCACCTGTAATAACTGTGAGGGTTAAAATGTTCAGTCTGATCTCAACAGCAAGAACAGCTTCCTACTAAAATGCCCATTCCTTATTTTGCCAAACAATCACAACCACAGAGATGGTGTTGGAGATTCATTATAGTCTCAAGTATGTAAAGAGCAACCTAATTCTATCCAAGTCTGCAATTGGCATTGTCCTGAAGATAATTTCACACTGTTCAAGCACAGTAAAAAGATCCAGTGTCATAATTTGGAAGGGAGAGCAGAGCATTGCACCCCAGTGCCCCCATTTCCAGTCCTGCTTTCTGGATTCAATTTGTCTTCACATTGGAATGAAGTCCCTCTGCTGCCCCAGTCGTGGTGGAAATCTCCATGGCACAATGAGCAATATGAAAGTTTAAAAGAAGAGCTGTGAGGGTAAGGAGATGGCTGGAGAGAATCCTTCAGCCACGCCTTGGACCTGGCAATCTGGAACTGGAGGTCGCAGCAGAAGCAGGCGCTGAAGCCCAGCAAGCAGGGCCAGTGAGTCAGCTCCCAGGAGCTGTGCTGCATTCCCCAGCCTTCTCTGCCCGAAACAAACAGTGCAGAACAGGGCAAAGGTCCAGCACAAAGCTGAAGGGCAAAGGTATGTGGGGGAGGGAAAACACTAAGCCTCACGGTTTTTTTTGGAGCAACAAGTTCCAGTTGCCTTCATCCTCCCCAATAAGATGGGAAGAGTTACTCAAACGTTGAGTTGTGGGATTGAACAAAAACAGGAGTTTGGAGAGAAAACTTGGGGTGGTGGAAGGGAGACCTCCTGCTGCGATAGCAGCTCTGCTGCAACAGCCAGAAGAGCTCCACAACTACATGCCACGACAGAGTGAGAATTGCCCAACACTTTGGAAATAGGTGTGTGCAGGACTACCAAGCTAGATACCTGAGCAAGCAGATGTGTGTGTCTACTCTGAATACGAAGAAATGCCAATGGTAAAGCAAGCTTCCCATCCATCTTATCTCCTGTACTGAAGGCTGATTTCAAGGAAAGCCCTATGGGGAGTTAGTCAGCAAGGGGTGAGATGCTAATGAATCTTCCTTCCCTTGCCTTCTCCTCAGTACCGGTAGCCAAGTCAGACTCTGCTCAGGCATAAAGCAACATGCACTCTCAACAATAGCTCACCCCTGGTGCTTGCTGCTAGCAACTAAGGTGTGCCTTCTTGAAAGTACTGCTTATCCACCCAGCACGTTTGCCAAACAGCATGCAGGAAACTCTACTCAAGAAATCAAAGCACCTCCTGCATCTCCACTAGGAAATACACCTCTTCCCCTGGCCAAGAACTTACAAGGAGAATTTTAAAAGTTAGCCCAGGCAAAGCTCAGCAATTGCAGTGCCAGTCATTAAAACCTGCATGTTCTTACTTCCAAGATGTAAATGGCTTTAAAAATAAAGAAGTGCCAAGTGCCTTGATGCAACATTTCTTGAAATGCATCCAGCAGGTTTTCAAAACGGGGTGCTGTTAACACCTGTCCACACCAATGCTTGCATCAGCATCAGCCCTGGTGCAGGGCACAGCGGAGGAGTACAACATGTTCCAGAAGGTCGAGCTGTTTTAACTGCAAGCCACACTTCTCATCTACAGAAGAACTGAAGAAAACACTTTGAATTTGGTTTATAGCCAGTAGTGCAAAGCTGGTTTTGCCAGAAAACGTTTCCTTCACTACTACAGACACACATACACTACCATCATGTGTCAGTCAGGCTGCTGGCTGCATTTATTTACATGATAAGAAGAGAACATGTAATAATGAGGGCATGGTCACACAGACCTTGCTACTAGATCATTAGAGAGTAAAAACGAGGCATCATTACAGTTCTGCAGTGTCCCTCACAAGCAGTCAGCAGTGTCAAGTACAAGCCCTTGCCACACAGGACAGGACCATGTGTACTCAGGACTCAAAGGATCCCCCTTCTCCCCTGACAGGAACACACAGGAATTAAAAGGTAATGTGCATCTTGTCAAGAAACCATGAAAATTTTCTGGTGTGCCGCTCCAGAAGAACCTCAGCAGTATCACTGACATCTAACTCGACCTAATGGTTGCCCCACTTACTGCCAAAGCTGTTGTGCTTTTGGGAGGTTAAGAAGCAAGAAGAGGCTTCACTTCAAGAGTCCTCCTTCCTGAAAAAGCAGAAATGTTTGCTCGAACATCCCATTATATTACAGCCTTCACTGCCAACTTTGAGCATAAAAATACTGCAGCAGGTAGGCATGGCACAAACTTCTAAAGGTAAATCCTAATCCATGAGAAAACGATCCTGTTCTTCAGTCCCTGTGTCAGGCCCCAAATGCACTCAACTAGCCCAGCAGTGGCGAGTCAAACAGTTCAAAACAAGCTGGTATTTCGACCACCTGGAGGTGGTGTTAAGCTCTTCCCTATCCATAGTCCAACACGGACAGCAGAAACCCACCAAGATCTTGCAGGCAGCTGTTTTCCCTGAGCTCAATGCTTTTATTTTTCAAGCACCAATGCCAACGCAGGCCATTGCAGAATGCAGGGACACCTAAGGAGAAGGTCTTGTCCATTAAATCTGCTCTGTGGGTCTATAATTAATATAATCATTATAAAAAAATTAGGGCTTTCAAAGCCTGTAAAACAAGTCACAGAAGGATCCCTTTATCTTTACAGGCCTGTCTTCACTACGCTCTCTGGTCTCCTCACTACCTCTGGTGGATCAGGGCTGCAAACATTTAGTATCTCCAGCACACAAGCATTGCACTGGGAACACTGCTGGATTATGAGCAAAGGCCTTGTTAAGCTCTGCTAAAAACCCAAAGACTTACAGTAGTGACTTTCCAGAGTTCAGAAGCTCTCAATTCACTTCAAGCATAGAAAAAGAGTGGCTTTCCTTGGGTCATCCTCCTGGAGGTCACTACAACATCACAACAGGGCAACTCACCTTACCAACCGATTCTTTCACACAAATTCACGCTCCAGATCTTTTTTGTCAAGTGTCTGCCAAAACAAATCCTCCACCCAATGGAATGAAGACACAGTATGAGCCTGCAAACTCTACAAGAAGGCACCTGGGTGCAGGGCTGCCAGGCAAGGTCAGCTGCCAGCCTGCCTCTCGTGGGAGCTCACCAGCAGTGTTTATTTTACACGTTTTCTCTTCTGCTAATGAACACGCAGCAAAAGAAACAATGGCCCAAGAGAGGAGAAGCAGGCAGCAGCACTGGGGGCACTGCTGGAACCAGTCGCTGCCACCAAGCGTCCCAGAACACACCACTAACAAATTCAATTTTTAAACACCTCTGGGAATACAGAGACAACTGTGCTGGGCCCAAGGACAATTTTGAGCGTTGCCGCATTACTCCCTTACCCTACAACTGCGTGGACACGCTAATGACACAGCCTCACTCTCTCCCTCAAATAATCATCCCAGGAGTTGCAAAGGCCCCCTGCTTGTGTTGGGCAGCTGCATCGTTGCTGCTGACTCTGACAAATCACACACGTTTGCAACGGATGAGGCTGGTAATGAATCTGGGCACTCTTTACACAGGAGACTCAAACAGGAACACTCAACCTTGCAGTTTTGCGTTTTTTGGTTTATTTCTCGGGATCGTTATCTCAGAAGTCATCACAATAGAGTGTAACCTTCACACAAAGGAGCGATGTGACCAGTTTTGTGTCATAACGCACGAGGTGAATGCAAACACCAACGCTACCCTGGATTTCCTTAAGCTTTGCTTATGTCCATGACTACAACGACAAACCAAACAATCCAAACACAGACTTCTACCTGGCACGATTAACTTGTCCTCTTTACTTCCAATTAAGATGACAGCTTTCCAGGTAGAAATTGCAGAGCTGTCCATCTCCCAAAGATCAATAACTCGGATGAATCACCATGCTAGGTAGTAACAGTTCTTACAAAACACTGGCATGTACAGTAATTGGGAATCTGACGGCACATATGGCAGCGTGATTTCAGAGCTAACAGAGACAGGTAGAAAAAGATTAAGTCTTTCCCAAACAAGACGCTTAGTGAAAACTTCTGCGGTTTTCCCCTACTCCCGATTCACTTGAAGCAGGTACGAGAGGAGCGCAACACCCATCCCGACAGGCGAGGAAATGGTGTTCTGCAGCTTCAGCCTTTGCTGACGACAGCAGCGGGTTCCAAGCGCGATTTGGACAGCGCAGCCCCTCCGCTTCCCTTTTCGGGGACCCCCGTTCTGCACCGCGCCCGCAGCCCGGGGCAGCGCCCGCGCCGGGCAGAGCGGCGCTCGCCGCGGCCCCGCCGCCATGAGTCGGCAGAGAAAGGCGGCGCGGCCTGCGCGGGGAGCCGCGGCCGCGCACACGTGGGCAGCGCAGGCCGCGGCCCGGGCCAGGCCCCCGCGGGGGCGGCGGGGCCGCGCTCCCGGGGGAGCCGCACGCCGGGAACCGACCACGTTGCCGGCGCTGCTGCGGCGGAATGCCGGGAGCGGGAGGGAACGGGGGGGGCCGCGTGTCCGCCGCCGGGCCCGCCCGCCACCACCACCGCCGCCGCCGGGCCGCCGGCCCCTCCGCCCGCCGCCGCATGGCCGGGCCGCGCTGCCCCCCCCGCCTCGTGGCCGCGGCCGCGCCGCCGCCCCCCCGCCCCGCCGGGCCCCGCAGGCCGCGGGCGCGGCCCCACGCCGCGTGTGCCGCATGGCGCGGCCGCCCGGGGCGCGGTCGGCGGCGCGGCCGGGCCCCCCCGCCCCGCTCCCGGCGACCCCCGAGCACCCACCGGGAGGCGACTGCCCGTTCACGGCCGGCGCGTTCTTCGTCCAGGGGTTCACCTTGGGCGGCGGGGCCTCGATGAACTCCCGGCGCCCCGCGCCGCCCGCCTCGCCGCCGTCCTCCGCCTCGCCGCCGGCCCTCAGCAGGCTCTCCTTCTCCTGGTTGTTGCTCTCCTCCTTCTGCTGCTTGGCGCTGGGCGGCCTCGGCGCCGCCGGCCCGCCGTCGGGGCCCATGGGCGGCTCGCCCTTCTCCCGGCCGCCGTCCTGCGGCGGCTTCAGCACCAGGGCGCGCTCCTCGGCGGGCAGCAGCGGGGCCGTGCCGGGCAGCAGCGCCTCCACCTGCGTCGCCATCTGCGCGCCCCCGAGCCCCGCCGGGAACCCCCCGACCCCGGTGCCGCCGCAATATGGAGCCGCGCGGGGACCACGCGACTGCCGCGGGGGCGCGCACCGCCCGCCCGTGCGCGCCGCCGGCGAGGGGAGGGGCGGCGCGGGGCGCGCCCCCGCGGGGCGGCCGGCGGCGCGCACGGGCCTGATGCAACGCCCGGCTGGGCTGGGCTTGAGGGAGGGAACCGGGGGGTTTAAAGCGCTCCGGCCCCTTCCCGACAGCCCGGACCCGCCGCCCGGCTCGGAGAGGCCGCGTTGGGGCCGGGGGAACCGCTGCCGGCTCGGGGAGTACGGGAACGGACGCGCCGGTGGAGCCCCCGAGCCCCGGCCGGCATCAGCCCGGAGCCGAGGGGTAGGGATGCTCTCGGTCACCCACGCCTGGGGATAACGTGGTTGGAAAGTGCAGCAAGGGACTCGGTGCGTGTCCTGGGGAATCACGGAACCACAGAAACGGCCGGGTTGGGCCGGCTGGTCCCACCTCTCTGTAAAAACAGGGGTTGTCCCAGAGCACATGGCACAGGATTGGCATCCGGACGGTTCTTGATCATCACCAGTGAGGGAGACCCCGCAGCCTCTCTACTCTCTGTTCCAGTGCGGGTCACTGCACAGTAAATAAGTTCTTCCTTATATCCAGGTGGAATTTCCTGTGCATCAATTTTTGCCTATTGCATGTGTCCTATTGCTCAGTACCACCGAAAAGAGCCCTGCTCCATGTGCTTGGCTCCTCCCTTTAGATATTTATGCACATTGATGAGGGAGAGACCACTTCTCATCTCCTGTGCCCAGCAAAACCTTTGTTTGAATAGGCTAAAATATTTAATTGCTCTCTAGCTGATAGAATGTCACTTGCTCATCACCATCATTTAATATTCCTGGTATTTGTCCTCAATTCTTGCAGGCAGCAAGACAGCGACTGCAGACCGTGTGTGTTTGTGCACATGAATTATACACATTTAAAAGGCAGCTTGCACTGCCAATACTATTTAGCACAACCTGCCTAATTCACAGCAGCCCTTACTTGATGCCTTTTTTATTAAATGCAAGCTTCTCCCAGCCTCTTTCCTCATCACAGCGAGCACACCACTCTGCTTCTGCCTGGAAAGGTTCATCTGGAAGTCCCAGCATGTCCTGCAGCCCCAGGGACACATCTATGCAATCCCTGCAGGAGACCCGTCAGCATGACAAGGCACTGAAGATGTAGCTGCCAGCTGCTGATGCGTGGAGAAGGATGAAAAGCTGATTTCACTGTTGGAAGGAAAGAAGAAAGTGAGAAACAAACATGAGCTCAGCACAACATTTGGAAGGGCAGCAGCATCATGGTGGATCCATAGAGGGAGTCCCAGGCTGTCAGGGATGCTCCACTGAGACCATCTCTGCTCTCTGTGTGCCCTGGTACCCAAGCTCTTGGCTCAAAAAATACCCTCCTGTGCCACAGCCTTAGGGATCACCAGCAGTTATCCCAAATCATTCAAGAATTTGGCCAGTAAAATTCCAAAAGGAACTTTAAATATAACTCCAGAAGAGAGGCTTGCTGGCCTGGCTGGCTGAATACCTGAGCTGCAGTAACCCAAGCCACATCCTGTGCTCCTGTGCCCGGTCCCTGACATGCTGGGGGCTCCTCATGAGTGTGACTTGGAGCTGCACAGCTTCCAGCCATTCTCCCACCTACACCCTCTCTAGGAGCAGGTCCTGGCATGGGGAGCACAGCTGGGTGAGGAAGGTGGCTGCAGCCAGGGGACCTGCAGGCCGTTGGTGTCCCTCACCTGTCCCCCAGCCAGGGTGCAGAGTTCCAGCTCGCTCCCTGTGGGACGCTGCTCTGCTGCCACGTGAGCAGGAACGAGCCCGCGGTGGCCAAGAGCCAAACTGGCTCCAGAGCTGCCAGGCAGGAGGGAGCTGGGTGAGTCTCACCCTCATGCAGTGCCCAGCCAGCCCAAACCCAGGCAGGTTTTCGGAGTTAGAAAATAAATGCATGAGCAAGGGTGAGGGGGGAAGAGAGGTGTCCGTACAAGTTACTTGAATCAGCTATAGGGAACATCACCTTGGCAGGTCAGCTCTCAAACACCCATCCATGGCCAGGGAAGCTGGGTGTGCACCACCTCCAGCTGCTGTAAACACGCTGGCCATGCCCAGCAAGCTCCGTGTGCTCCACTCCTCCCTTGGTGTCCTCACCTCTGCTGGACCCACCTTCCCCTGCTCTGCCCAGCGTCCACTTGGATATTCTGCTCCTCCCTCCAGGGGCTTGCTGAGAGGCAGCCAAGGAGTCTCCACATTTCTGCAGCACAATTCACTGGGAAGTAATCCATCTCTGCTTTCCCCAAATGCAACAAAAGCACCTGACTGGCATCCCCAGTCCTGCTTCTCTGCCTCATCCTTCACCCCAGATGTGTCCCTGTGCCTGCCCAGACCACATCAAGCAGCTCTGGGTGTTGCCTCCCGGCCCTGTGCTGGCCCTGCGCAGGCTCTGAGGAAGCAGTCTCCAGGGAAACTCCTCTGCTGAGCAGTGATTTGGGCAGGAGCTCCCCACCTCCCTTGCTCCCTGTACAACAGCTTATTTATTTCTCCCCGACTGAAGCGTGGCTTGCATATTTATCACAGACAGCCGGCTGCTTTGGTGCTGGCCTGGAGGTTTAAAGATGCTTTGACGGTGGCCATTAATGCCTCTGAGCATCTCTGGGTCTTGCTTGGCTGGAAAATCCCCAGCTTCATTTCTGCTGGTCTGGCAAGCTCACCTAGAGGCCCAACCTTCCCTTTGGGAACAGCTTTAGTTCAGTGGCCTGGAGCAAGGCCTGTGCATGGCGGAGCACAAAGCAGCCGATGTGACTGATATGCTCCTTAACTTCACTATCCTGTTTGGCTGGTAGCTCAGCCCCTTTCTCAGGTTCCACTTGCCTAATTTTGTCCAGCACTGTGGCCACGAGGTCACCGTTAAAAGAGTTTCTTTCCTACAGTTTCACCTTTGCTCTAGTCAGGTCCTGAGTGCTGCTTAGCATCTGCAGCACACTCCTGATCACACCTCCTTTCCCTGCATCCAGGGCTGTGCAGACCTCGCAGTCAGCTCAGATGTGATGTGTGCTTCCCAAGGGAATTTTCTTTTCCCAGCACCTCCAGACCAGTTTGCCTGCTGCCAGTGCTGGTCACGCTGTTCCCTGGTGAGATGCCCAAGCTTTACACGTGGATGGCAGAATATTAAGGCTCAGGCATCTTTAACGCTGTGCAAAAGAGGATTGTTCCAGGAAAGTCCAAGCTTCCTATCCTGAGTCATATGCTTTGACTTATTTATGTGGTTGTTATTGCTCCATGAACCCTGCCAGGCAGAAATATTGTCAGGGACAATGCACACAAGGTTGGGCTGACTTTCCTGCAGCAGCCCTGCAATGCTGCCCTCCAGCAAACCCAACTGCCCCTGAGGGATGTCAAAGTCCTTCTTCCAATGGACTTGCAAAAGCAGTCTGACCATCCAACTGCTGGTGCCCACAGGGAAAAGCTTTTCAAAGGACACCCACAGCTCATTCCTAGAAGAGAAGCGTCTTCGCTCTGAGAAGAGGATGGTATGTTGGTGCAGAACCATTCTCAGGACTCTGGGCCAACAGTTACAACCCTCACATTGAAATGGGAATTTTTAATTTCAGAAAACCTGACAGTTTCCCACTGAAAAATACTCAGCTTGCCCTGAAATTCTTCACCAGGGTAATCTGACCCCACCTTTTAAGTCTGGGTGATATTCTTTCCCACAAAACAGTGGAAGCCCAAATTCCCGTCCCAATTTGCTGTGCCATTGGTGAGTGGGGCTGAGGGCAGGCTGCCAGCAAATCCTTGTGACTCTGCCATGGCAAGTGCCTCCAACCAGCAGACACCTATTAGTGGCACATAGTGGCCATCACAAAGCACTTGAGTACTTTTAAAATTAAACACCCAAACCTTTTTTTCTACTACTCAAAATATCCACATTTCAACCTGCTTTAGCTCACAACCAGAAGAAAGTGCCCATTCCTGCAGGTTTCTGCCAAAGTGAGTGCCAACATCCCCCAGTTTAACCATATTTTAGCCTCTCCTTGCCCCATGTTTTTAACCCCAGAGCTTCCAACCCTGCTGTGGAGTGAGGGACCATGCACTAAAGCACAAAGCACAGCCAGAGCAGATATCTCAGCTCCTGCACTTCTGCTGCCAGGGCACAGGGGTGAGAACACACTGAGTGCTCCAGACAGCCCCATATCTATCTGCAGCCATGTGATCCAGAGAGATGGAAGACACTCCCTGGCTCTGAGATTAATTCACTTGGACCCTTCCAGCAAAGCATACGAAGGATCAGCGTGAAGAGTGAGCGCATTCCCACCAATAAGTAATTTTCAACCTGTGTAATAAAACAGCAGACACTAACGAGTTCCATTCCATCCCCATCAAAAAGTGCTTTCACTTAGCAGGGCTCCACAGCCCAGGGGCTTGGTGGGTTGGTGCTGCAGCCCAGCCAAAGGCACTGTGCTCTCAGGGCACTCTGCCACGCCTGGGGTAGGAACCAGCTCCCAAAGCTGCTGGCCCCTCGCTGCTTCCACCCCTGCTCTGCACGCTGGGATGTGGTGCTGCAGATGTGTTCATGTCTGAGAGTAGTGCACCCCATGGATTTTCCTGGTGCTAGGAAGTTAGATTGAAATGTGAGCAAATATCCTGTAATTAAAATCTGAAGCCTGTTATGCAGCTTTTGCGTGTTTTTAATAAGTGGGTTGGAGGAGGGGATATCTAATGATATATAACTGCTTTTATCATCACAACTTTTCCCTCAAAGAGCCACACTTCTTGTAGAACTCCCCCAAAGCCAGTAAATAATCTTGACTGCTTGAGAAAAATTTCCCCATTTCCTAGTTATTGATGACATGGGCTTTGGAAAGCAATACCTCCTCTAGAACACAATTTCTCACCTTGTAGATTTTGCTGGAGATATATTAACCCAAGGTTTCTTATGTCCCCTAAACCACTTTCATTTCCAGGAGCATGTGAAAACATGACATAACTTGACCACTGAACCTGATATTTTCTCTGAAGGATATGTACCCTCCATGCCACCCCTCTGCCATCAGGAATTTCACCAGAAATATTTCAGACACTTCTACAAAAAGAGATATAAGAGCTCTACTATCCTTGTTCATGATGCCTTAAGCTCCACGTGCTTCAGATGAGATCCTGCATCCTTCCCAGGTCTCAACCACCCACAGCAGTGCCAGAGGTCCCTGACTCAGCCCACCCAAGGATGTGCCATTGCTATGGAGAATTAAAGCACACTGGCAATGTGCTGTGATTCCCAGGAATTTGTATTTCCCTGCCACCAGCACTGGCCAGGGTCATACATCTTTCTGCCTTGTGCCTGATGTGCAGGGAGGCACCAGCCAGGGGCTGCTCCACAGAGCTCAATTAATTCAAGCACTGGCAGCTTGTGCAGGTGCCCTAAAAGCTCCCAAAGACTCAAGGTGAGAATCAATAAGATTGATGGGTGGAATTGCTGGGATATTTTCCTCTACACACCTAAGGATAATTAACAGCCAAAATGCTTGGAGTCAACCACCAAAGTTATGAAATACTAAATCAGAGGCAGCTCCCAGCAGCTTCACTCGCTCCCGTTGCAGGTTGTACATTCACAATGAAGCCATCAGCCACACACAGCCACAAATTCTCTCTTTTCCCCTGGGACTTCTGCTCCTTCCAGTGGCTGGCAGTTATTTAAATATTGTTTTACCCCTCTGCAGTCAAAGCAAAGCCCTGGGCTTTGCCATTCAAATCCTAGCCTGACCCACAGCACAAGGACATCACTGCTGGGTGTTTCCCTGGCAGGCAGCATGCTGGGATCTGTGTGTTGCACCAGTAGGTACAGATCCAGCAGGTGCTGTTCTCCTCCTTGGACAGCCAGGGAACTGAGAAATAGGGAGAAGATAAAAAAATGTTGCTCTTTTGTGTGCAAGAGTTCAGATTTCTGCCCCCCAACTTTTCAGGGCACTGGGCATCCTATCACAATACTTTCCTTTCCACTTTTGCAGCCACCTTGACTGGAGCCAGGCACAAGCAGCCAGCAGTCTGGACTCCAACAGGCCTCGTGGGGGTACCAGAGGAGGTGGAACCAGGCAGGAACCCCATCAAGAGCCAGTTTGGAATGGTGGAGCTGAGCTGCCTGGCCAGCTGTCCCCCACAGAGTTCAGGTCCCACAGAGTTCCTGTGACCCACAGCAGAGGGTCAGCACACACCCACTCCCTATCCAGCTGGCCCTGAGCACCAATCATCACACCATGAGTGACAAAGGACCCCAGGAGGGCACAGCACCTCTCTGTGTCCAAGAGCTGCACTGTGCACTTAAGCAAAGGGGCTGGAGCAGGGGCAGCTCCATGCCTGACTCTACTTGACCCCAGGCATGACTAAATGATCCTCCTTGAACCTTGGGATGTGCTGTGTGGGCCTGTTGTACTCCTGGTATCACGAGGTTCTTCCTCTGCTTCATATGGAGCTCCCATCCCTGCTTCCATTGCAGGGAAGTTTCAGTGCTGAACAGGTTTTCCTGCCTTTTCTCCCCATGCTATGACTTGGGAAGGCTCCATCCTGCACAGATGCTCCCCCAGCAGCCAGCACAGCTTTCCCATGCTGCCAGCACCCAGGGTGCATGGAGGGGATGTGGGGAGCATCTCTTCTTCTCACCTGTGCTCTGCCTCAAGCCAGGCCCTCTGCCTGTGACTCCCACTCAGCCTCGCCAGATTTGTGTTTGCTTTCCCAAATATTTTACTGGTGCAAAAAAACTGCTGTGAACTGAGTCGTGAGCTGAGTGACCTCCACCTCTGAGCTGAAGCCCATGGAGTGAGAGAGGTGATAACTTGGAAGCAAAGCAATGCCAAAGCGTAGAGCAACATACCCCAGTCCTCCTGACCCCCTGGCAGTCTGCCCTGGTGCCACCAAGTCAAGCTGGGGACAGTCCCCAGTAGCCAGGATGCTGGCACTGCCACTGCACCCGCCCCAGCCTCTGATAACACCCTGTCAGCAGCTGACCAGCCAGTCAGAGGTAAAAGGGCTCCAGCAAAGTGCAGTGCCAGCACCCAGCCCTGGCCACCGCTGTACAAGCACGGCCCGTGGGACACAGGCAGGGGGATTAGGAGATCTGTGTCAGCAGTGGGCTGTGTACACAAACACAGCAGCTAAAAGGGCTCATGTTCATGCTCTGTCCCCAGGGATGGGAAAGGGTCGTGGAGGGCTGGACATGCGGTGTCTGTGTCAGTCCTCTGAGCCACGGGAGGATGGGACTGGGGATGGCAGAGTGAGATTGGCCTCAGGCACGGGGACTGTCCCCCAGCTCCCCTCCCTGCAGGGAGCCGGGCTGGCCATGGCAGATAATGCTGTAGTGCCTGGGAGGCTGCAGGGAACTCCCTGGCTCTGGAGTGGTCCTCAGGAGGGCCGGAGAACCTCAC